AGAGAGAAAAATAGTGAGCCAATTTGTGAGTGTTATCCACAAATTGAGGATACAATATCATTGTATTTTGTATTCCCATTATTTTATAGTGGAAGATTAAGTGGCCTACTGGTCCCGTGGTTTTTCCTTGAGAAAGGTTTTCCACGCTAAAATTTCTGGTGTAATAATTTTACGTTTCCGCTCAGTGCCCATTTTGAGTTAACAGAGAAGGGAAATTATGATGCCATTTCCCAACAGTAGTATGTAATCTAGAAGCTTGTAAAATGTTATTCAATTAACTTTGATAGAGCTGACAATGTTAAACTTGCGACGGTTTATCATAAACCGTCGCGGAGGTTTATCATAAACCGTCGCAATGTTAAACAAATTTTGCGACAGTTTATGATAAACCGTTGCAATATTAAACAAATTTTGCGACGATTTACGATAAACCGTCGCAATGTTGAACAATTTTGCGACGGTTTTGAAAAACTATCGTATGAGGGGTCGCAATATCAAAGCGGCGACGGTTTCTAGATAACCGTCGCAATTTGTCCGTCGCAATTTATCATTTTTCTTGTAGTGATTGTTGATAATATTTTTTTTAAAAAAAATCAAAATTGTATTAAATAATAATCTTGTTTAAAGATATTAAATCAATCATAATTATGTAAATCAAAACAAGTTTAATCATTCATATAAAATAAAGTGTCATACATAACAAATAAAGTTTAGGGTTCAAATTAAAAAAAAAAATAGTATGATCAGTAGAGTTATAACATAATGTCTAATAATCTGAATATCCGGGTGAATGTTGTTGATGTTGATCATTATCTTGTTCATCCTCTCTTGGTTGCCGATTATCTTGTTGTTGGTCTTGTTGGTGTCTGTTTGGTTGTTGATGTTGATGTTGTTGTTGTTGAAGAGTAGTTTGCATAATAAGTGGTAGGAATTGGAGTACAGCATTGAAAAATGTGTTGAACTGAGTCTAATACTAGGAGGTCAAGGATTGAATATCAAATTTGGTTAAAATTGAACAACAACTTGAAGGTAATCAAATTATTTATATTTTAGTATATTTTGAAATGAATATATTACGTAAATTTTGTTTTATAAAAATGAAGTATCAAATCATCTTGGATTAATATAAAATTTTGTGTATATGATCTAATTAAAGATATAAACTTTCAATCTAACGGTTAAATTTACAAAATTCACATTTAATATAAAGTTATTGAGCGGTGTAATACTTAGTAAAAGTTACACCGATATAATTATAACTCCCTTTTATATATATATATATCCTCGATCTAGAACATTAAATGACCGATCATTATGTTATGCTAACTGTCTAACATAATTTATTGAGGATGAAGCCTAGCTATTACTAATTAGAAACGAAGTTTGAATTAATAGAAAAGAATAGAAGGAAAAATTGAGCACGAAGAGGAGAAGAAAATAATTGAATGAGCTTTAAGAAAGGTATAAAGCATGTCTGCGTGCGATAAAACTTTAAAGAAGTAAGGTGTGTGGGGTGCTTCGGTTTTCGTCATGTGGAATATTAGTCACAGTCAACTCCATGCAAAAACTTTAAATGTCTTCTCATGCTAATAAAGTTAGTAATCACGTTTGAAACAACAAAGTCAAGCGCCCACTAAATATATTCAATCCCTTTAGACCTCATTAAACTATAACTACATGGTTATTAATAATATTAATCCTTTCATACTTTTGTTTTTTTTTATAATTATATTATAATATAAAATATCTATTAATTTTTTTCGTAATTGTTTATGTTAGTTCTTAATGTTAAATAGCTTAAACATGTCATTGAAATAAAATCTTATAAAGTTTATATAAAAATTATCTATATAAAAAATTATAACAAATGTTACTCATTAAAGAAAAACAATTTATAAGTTAAAATGAAAGTTTTTATGAAAGGGGAAAATAAAATGAGACCTACTAAAATTAAGAACCCAAGTTGAGTCATGTGACAATTAATTTGGCATTTATATAAAAAATATATATTAAATTTTAGTTTAGAAAAGTTTTGTCGGACAAGTTGCCAGATTTTATTTTTCAATAATATGAACAATCGTAACACACAAATAGCTTGTTTGTTTGTTTGTTTTAAAAGCTGAAGTGCACAACTTTATAAAGCTATAAATCAAAATGTCATGCAAATACAAATGATTTGGTAGCCTAATTATAATGTGAGACGATTGTTGTGAAATTGTGAAATAAGAAAAGTCAAAGGTAATCGTTCTGAAAGCGACACGCATGTTTCCGAAAATGACACATTTTTTATTTATTATTTAGCTTTTTCACTTACTTTTTACACGAAAGAAGAGAGAGAAAAAAAACTTTTTTGGTATTTTTCACGAATTTAATAAGTATAATTAAAAATGGTATAAAAGAATGAGTGTATGAATGATATTAGTTTTGTTTGTTTAAATTTAAAAATAAGTGTTTTTTTTATAATAATTCTTTGAAAATCACATAAGGGTTGCTTTTTAAAAAAGTAGAAATTTACTTATTTAAAAAATAATAATAAATTTAAACAAACACATTAAAAAATAAAAAAATAAAAAAAGTGCTTATTTTATTTTTAAAAAAAAACTTTTAGAGTAAAAACCAATTACTATTTGACAGTTTTACCAACTTTTGAGCTAAACATTGCTACGTAGTGAATAGGTTTTGTGAGACTATCCTTGTTGCCAGCTTTCGTAGTGAATAAAGTTGGAACAAATAACTTCCTAGTTTCGAATAATGTTCCATCTTTACCCCTAATAAAAAACATTCTAGGTATCCATCTTGCTTTCATATATAGTTACTATTTACTGAGATTAATCAACATTTAAATTTAGCAATGCATGACAGGTAATTCTTTAATTAATTAACTGAATTTAATATTAATTTGACACTGCTTTTTTTCAATTGATAGTAACTAATAATTCTAATCCTACTATGTACTTTCTTACTAATGATCAATTAATCATATTTCAGTACTCCGTGGGAACTATTATTCCTCAAAATATGACGAGGTCTATAGATAATTGTCAGAATGCATGTAGTAAAACACAACAATGATTACGTCTGCAACTTTTGGCTCTAAAAGTTTATTTCTCATGACAATACCAATTTGAAACGGGACAAAAATAATAATTATTTTTCATGTGATTTCTCTAATTGGAAAGATATTTAATTAATTTAATAGCTGACCCTACTGACATATTTACGTAATTTGTTTGAATAGCCGTATTAATTATATATACAGGTGCAGTGCAGCCCAAATTAAACTCAACCAAATATCTCATCCAGTTGGTAAATGGTTGTGAATCCATCTTTCTAACTACTACGGCTTAAACAATATAATCACTACAAAATCAAAATATTGATTTCAATCCTTTTTATATTACAAGTTACAACCACATGATTTGTATCGTACTGGTACATATAGGTGCAAATGAAAAGATGGAAATAATAAATTATGAACAAGGGCAATATATGTTGGTGGGTCTTGGTTCTTCCCATGGAGGCGCTGAAAGCATATGAAACTTAAAAAGTGGTTAAATGCAGAAAAACAAAAGTAAAAGCAAAAGAGAGAGGAAAAGTTGTGAAAGGGAGCCAGCTATATGGTGTTCACTTTGACATTAGTGGAAGCATATGAAGACAATGTAGTGTAGTGGTGGTCTCGCTGTTAAAGCCATTTTAACTTTAAACCGAATCAGCCTTGGGTCCAAATCTCACTCTAGTCCTCATTTTGGGACAAACACGTACTACAATAATTTCTCACCAACTGAGGTCATTATAATTTGGAGTCTGCTATATATACACGACAGACACATGTACAATTAATTTTACTAAAATAAGAGAGAAAAAAAGCTACTTACTGACAATGTAAAACACTGTCACAAATGATCATTTATTGATAAATTTGTTAACTTTTATAAATTTATTTTAAAAACTATATTAATAGAGATTTTTATATATATAATGTTAATATAAAAACATTTACACTAGCTAAGACCATTAAATTTTGAAAATAATAAATTATATTAACTGATTGAACATACATAATTAATGAAAAGTCAAAAAGAAAAAGAGAAAATACAAAACAAAGATCCAAGGAGAATTTATGAATAATAGTTTCTTAATAAAAAAAACTTGATTATAGACAATTTTGCAAGCTATGGGATGTTTTTTTGAGTGATGATATATGAACACTAGTTTGAATTACATACATTGTTCAAAAAAAATTAGATCAATCATAATATAATATCATAAATGAGATTAGTGTTTGATCTAATAAATTAAAAGTATCTGTGACAAAATAAAAGAAAATGTATCACGTACTCAATCAAAACCTATTATTACACCATTTATTTATTTCTTATTTAGTTTTATCACCAATATTATATTTCCAATTTTTTAATTTTTAAGTATTATCTAGATATCAGGTATCTATATGGATTATTTTCTTATATTATACTTTTTTTCTTCTTCACAAGTATCCTTCTTTAAAATTAATCCTTATTTGTAAGGGAGTATCTCCCTTCCTTAAGATTCAACTCTTATTTTCTTATGCTATACAAGCATTTCCAAATGCAAAGATTCAATATTCCCTTTCCTTTAGATTTTGTATAAATAGGGGGTAAATTAGAGGATTTACTTAACAAATTCACAAGACTCATTCTTATAGATGTGAGTCCATCACCTTATACTTACTTCTTTAAAAGTGTAAAATATAGTTTAGTATATAAACACTTACGTTTTACTGATTCTAAATAACATGAAATTTCTTTTGAAATACTATCATATATGTAATAGATAGTATATAGAATTTCAATTAATTCCAAACTTTGTTCTTTCGATTCTTGATGTTGTTAGAGTCATTTCCAAATCTTCAAACCAGAAAGAGCCCCATGTAGGTAGGTGTTAATGCATATACCTTCCGGTCCATCAAAAACTTGGACACATAAATAAAAGGAAAATAAAATCGAAGAGAAAGAGAGACGTGGAGGTAAGTACGTAGACTGGTTAACTTGATTTTTATTGTTGATATATAAGCAAAAAAACAAAAGATACAAAATTCCTGAATGCAACTAATAAACATGCATCCTCTCGATCAATAAGACATACACATTATGATAAAAATAATACATCCAAAACTGCTTACAAGCATAACGTTAACGACGTACGTCAATAATGAAAATGAAGATTGTTTTGTTAACAAAGTAATAAGAGAGAGAATTAAGTTTGGTTCTTCAAGTTTTTATAGAACCTCCTTATGAACTCTTCAGCAGCCTTATCCACTTGGTGGTCCCTGTCATCCTCGGAGTTAGCAAGAGGGAAGGGAGAGTCAGTCACCCTCAGCTGCCTCACCACCAAAGGGCTTCGTCCCAACCCAGGAAGAGCCGCTGCTGGCGAGGCTTCCACGGCGGCCTCGTTGTTGAGCATCTCCAACACGCTCTTGATGGCGTTAGCGGTGGCGGCGTCGTCGTCAAGGGTGGGAGGCGCGTGGGCGCAGGTGAAGAAGGGGTTGTGGCGGTGGCGTTTGGTGAACAAGTTGTTGGGAGTGTTGGTGCAGCTGAACTCGTACTCCCTGGCGGCGGAGAATTGGAGGCGGGTGTCGGAGGCGGCGTGGTGGTGGTGGAACATGAGGTTGGCGATGGCTTTGCCGGCGAGCTTGCTGCGGCGTTTGAGGATGACGTTGAGGTGCATCATTAGCTTGCCCTTTGTTATGCCTTTTCTCAGCATGAAGAAGGCTACACGTATCATGTGCCACACTCTCTTTGCTATTACTCCTGTGTTGCTTTCCATTTCTTTTTTATTTGGAATTAATTTTTGAGGGAGAGAGAGTTTTTTTTGTCATGGGTTGAAGAGGAAGAGGGGAAGGGGGGGCATATATATATTGTGTGTGGGGAAAAGGAGGTGAAGAAAAATCTGGAGCTTTTGCTTTTGCACTTGAAGTTGAAGAAACCTACCATAGGCATAGATATTTTAATATTTAATATTATTTGGTTTTTTCTTTTTGTTGTGGTTTCTTCAACCCACTACCCATCTTTATTGGTGGGGGCTGCCTTAAGCTACTTAGCCTAACCTCACGAGTCACGTCACAGTTTCTAAACCAAAAGGAGCTCTCACCTAGTTTCAAACTACAAAAATTATTATCATTAATATCTAAGGCCCTGCATGTTATATTTAAAAACATATTATTCTTTCTATTATTAATGATTTTATTTAATTCATATCTCATTTAATATCATTAATTTTTCTTTTTATTTTTTATTTATTTAATGTTATTTTTCTCTTTTTAATCAATAAAAAATAAATAACTTTTTTACAAGTAACTATTTTTAAATAACTATTCCTTTTTTATTTTTAAAATTTTAATCAAAATCCAAATTTCTAAAATTATTTTAATTTTTTCATTTTAATTAAACAACATAGAATTAATAAATATATTAACATCTAAACTTGGTATTTGTATATACATGAGTATAGATACATCTATTTTTTAGAATTTTATTTTTATTATATTTATTTTCTATTGTTTAGATTATCAAGATATTAACATTTTAATAGTTTAATATTATTTTTTTAACTTATGGGATTAATCTACTATTAGATTTTTATTTTATTACTATTATTAATATATTATCATTGTAGTCATTGTAACACTGTACAATTTTAGTTATTATTGTTGATTTAGAGAAAATATATGTTGTGGTAAATTTGTTGTTAAAATTGTTGAGAAACTAAAAAATTATAGATTATTTATGAGTTTTTAATTATTTAGAGGTGTCTCTAAGCAGAGATCAAAATTGACCTGTAAGGAAGGACATAAAGGTCTTTTTTTATAAGTAAATTTCATAAGTTTATTTCTTCATAAAGTTTGGAGAGAAGAACTTTGGACCTAACTTTCTTCCATTTTTTTCCTAACCTTCTCAAGTTCGTCGGAGATGTGTAGTTGAGTATAGGAGAGTGATTTTTGGTGGTTGAGAGGTGATTTGAGGCTCTAGAAGTTGTGAATCAAGGTTGGTTCAGGACTAGCTTAGAAATCATTATCTTCTTCCTTCTCCTCTAATTCTTAAGGACTTAGAGGTAAGGGAAGCTAGATTTCAAAACTTTTTGAATTGTGAACCTATATGATATATGTGCTTGAATTTTATCAATTTGTGGCTTTGTTGGCTAGTTGATTCGTTTAAATTGAATGTTGAACTTGGTGTTTGTGGCTTATGAAACACGTGAGGAAAAGTTGATAAATTGAAACTATTGAATGGTTGCATGTTGAATTTTGTGACATTTATGAGTTGGTGTTGATGCATAGATGTGTTTTCATGTATTACATGTTGGTATTATATGAGTTTCAAGTAGGATAGAGCAAATTCGTGGGTTTTCTATGTGTCGAACGTGACTCAAATCAAGGTTTCTCTGTCTTGCCCCCTCTAAGGGCAAGATTGGTGGTGTCGAGCTTGAGGATGGAAAATAACCTATGACTTGGTCACGTTGGACGTAAGGTAAGAGAATTGTCTCTAACCTAGTGACACCAAACCCCAAGTTGTGTGGGACCCAACATGATCAAGACAAAACTCAATCTAAATGACATCAAGCACCAATGTAGTGACACTGGACGTGAGGAAAGAGAATCGTCTTTGTCTGAAATGGGGCCACGTGTGGAAATTACCATGTTAGGCATGGGAGAAATAGGGATCTCTATCTCATTTCACGTCAGGTAAGGGGAAAATGGCGTCGGGTGTGGATTACCTTATGAATGTATGTTGAACTTCTTGTTAAGAGTTGAATATATGTATATGTTAGTGGAATCCTTTACATATTGTATGATGATTAAAATTGTGTTATATATATATATATATATATATATTGATGTATGATGTTGAATCTTTATGCAATGATCTAGTATTATGTATATAGATGATGAAATGGTTGAAAGTTATTGTGAGTTGACAAGTATGTTGAAAAACTATGGTAGTTGAGTTAAGAATGATTCGCCATTGAAATTGTATTATTTTGATTGACCTAGCTAAAGGAGAGATTGTTTTTAAAGTTGCATACCCCATTGTGAAGATATTGTGTTGTGGAGCTTCGAGAGTCCAACTTGTTGAAATTTTTTCTTGAAAAGTTGACCCTTGATGTTAGTAGTTAAGTCTCCTTTAAGACCTTAGCTGATGCAGTATGTGGTCCAAGTTGAGACATATCGACTATAAGTGACCACTATTGATTCGTATGTGGAAAAAGTCGAGACATACAAGCATAAAGCAATCAAAACACAGTAAGGTATAAGATAGGAGGTCAAAATTCCTAACTAAGTACTAGAAAGACAGAACATTTGGAGGGTAGTCGACAAATTAATCTTATAGGTGGCTCAATTGTATTAGCTAATGTTGTGGTAGGCTCACTCCTAAGTTGTTCTACCTTGACAGAAATACTAGACTTCATAATTTAAGTGACAAAATTCGAGAAACCATGTTATTATGGATTATTATCCAATTTGGTTGTTTGATCTAACTAGATTGAAAAGATCAAGTTGTTAGTTTGGTAGGGTTACTACTTATACTACTCATCTAGTTGAAATGCGTGACAACTATGAAGTTGATTTGTTGTACATATGTGGTTGAGTTGTATTATGCATATGCCATGTTGAGATGTTGTGCAAAGTGAATGATAAATTGTGCATGTGATGTGTTGATATCTATGTTGTTTACATGTTATGTTGAATTATGATGAGTTGTATTATTGTGTTGCTCAAGTTGCAATATATATTGTAATGTGTTGAAATAAGTTGAGTTGCCTATGTTGATAGTATAGTAGGTTTTACTTCTATATTGTTCATGTTGATTTTTTTGAATACTAACTTACTTTTACATATTTTTATGTGATTTGAGCTATGATTATCATACTTGGTATAAGAGTAAAATAAAGATAAACTATTATTGATAAAGTTATTTTGAGGTCATGTTGATGATGACAATTCTTATCTTTAGGCTACTTTAGAGTAACTAGCATGCTAGTTGGTAGATGTTAGTTGGCCGACAACCTAAATTTATATATTGCAACTTTTAAATTACTTTATCTACATATATATATATATATACAAACTATTGTACATGTATATATACTATTACTTGTATATCCAAGAACTATTTTATATTCATCTTAGGTAGGAATATATATGTTTTTCCATTACTTATAGTTGAACCGTTAAGTGTCAACATCATAATAGGTTTTTCTTGAAAGTGTAGGATTGCTTTAATCTTAATTTTTTAATTTTTATAAATTATTAATAATTTTTATTTGGATGAAAATTATAATTTATATAACTATATTCTTATAAAAATTAATTATTACTTTAATAATATTTATCATATCTTAAACATTAATTATAATATTAATTTATTATAATTAAGAAATAACTATTTTTCTTAAAACATCTAAAATAATAGAAAATATTATAAAGTAAAATAAATAATTAAAAAATTCACGCATTATAATAATTTGTTTCTAGAATAATAAAAAAATATTGTAAAGAAAATTTAAAATATAACTTAAACATGTTAGATATTATAAATTGATAAAAAAAAAACAAAAAAGATGTAAAAAAACATTACTTAAATCAAGATGTCAAAATCTATTAAGATATTTTCAATTGATAACATATAAAATAAATTATTTAATCAAAATACATTAAATTTTATATATCATGTGAAAATTAAATTTTTAAAAATTAATTTCAAATTAAAATTAAATTAACCTTAAAACTCAAATTAGCTATGATAGAAAATTGATAATATCACTTAGTAATAATAGTAAATTAATACTATAATAAATATTTAAAACAATCTAAATACCTTTAAAATTATAATAAAATTTTGATTAATGTTTTTAAGAAAATAATAATATATTATAATTTTAAATTTAATTTAAAGAAAAAAAATTAACTTCAATGACAAATATAAACATTAGTAGCTAAAAATAAATAAACTAATAGTATATTGGTATTGTAATTTTAAAAAATAAAAATATTTTTTATATAATATATTAATAATTTATATAATATAATATAATATTCTGAAATAAACGTATTAAAAAGTAATATATGTTAATAAATTTTGATTATAATAATAAAGATAATTAAAAAATTTATAAAAACTAAAACTACTAGACAATAAAAATATTTATACACATTTATATAAGGTACCGAGTCTAATTATTAATATATATATATATATATATATAATTTAGTTAAATAGTATGAAATTGAAATAATTTCTAAAAATTTATTTCGATTAATATCTCTTTTTTTTGAAAAAAAATCATTTAAAAGAAATATGACAATATAATTCAAATAAAAAAGCAAATAGTATATATCAATACTATAAATTGAAAAAATAAAAAAATATATATTACTGCAATGATAATGTATTAATAATTTAAAATAATATAACGTAAGGTATGAAAAAATAGTAAAATGTAATATTATAAAAAAATAAAAAAGAAATTTATACGTATACATGTAAATGTACGCTATTAATATATATTTATATATTTATTTTATGTTTTTCAATTAAAATTTATGAAATTGAAATAACTTTAGTTATTTCTACTTTATGAATATTTTAAAAATTAAAAATAACTAGTTATTTTAAAAAAATTCTACTGTAAAAAATTATTTAGATAAAAAAAATAAAGGAAAACAAACATTTGAATAAAAAAAAGATAAAAATTAAAAAAAGTTATTAATAAGTCATTAATTAATTACAATATTAATAAATAAATAATATTAAATGACTTAATAAATAAGATACCAATTAAATACATATATCTATCGACAATAGTAAAAAGCACACAAACATTTTAAAGTAAAATATGCAAAGAAAGAATAGCCCTTAATCTAATTTTTCATCCTCCTCAATTTTTTTCTTCCTCAGTCTCTCCCTTTTGTTACATCACTTACCATGTTTTTAATTATCTTTTCTCTCCTTTTTTTATCCACTCCAATTCATCTTGATTTGAGATGTACATTAATTCGTGCTGTTAGAAATATGAGATTTAGAGCACTGCATATGGATGAAGAGAAATATTAAGAGCAATGGTTTTTGAACAATTTATATTTTTCTATCAACACTTTTCATTTTTCTATATCTTTCTTCCTTTCTCTCTATTAAATTGACTAAATCATATATTTAACCTAAAATTGATATGAACTGACTTGAAATAACAAATACAGTAACAACGATGTAATTGGTTGCGACCTGGGATGAACTTGTGATTTGTGATTCATAAGTTGTAGTTGAACTTAATTTTTAGGCAAATTTAATTTGAATTTACTTAAGATTTATTATTGATTTTAACGTTGTGTCCATGCATGTAGGGTCTGAACTTTTTTTTTTTTTTTTACCTGAACTTCTTATATCTCATTTTATAATTTTTATTTGTATTTTAAATATAAAAAAAAAAAATATTTAGCTATTTTCTCTTATTTATCTTTGGCAAAATCTACCCACCTTATCTCACCCCATGTTAACATTCCAATAATTTCCATGGCAATCACAATGGGTGGCGTTATCTCATACCAACAACAACGGTGGGTTGTACACTCTAATTACTGCCCATCATTTCCGGCGTGCGGCCGTGTCCGCCGCCAATCAGGGCGGCGCTGTAGGATTTTAGGACAGCTCTCCAAACGCGCTTACAATGACGATTATCGTTCTCATATGTAACTGCAAAAATAATTTAGAGAATGAAATTCATTTATAGTTTTTAATATTAATCATTCTTTTAAATTTACTATAATCATTTAACGCTAGCTGTTACCTCTGATTTTGTTTTATCTTCCTACTAACTACTAAGCAATAGAGATGTTAATGATATATATATATGTACAACACAAATAAAAATATAGTAGAGACTAGAGAGTAGAGACTCCTCGTGTTTGGTAATTAATTTATTCCACTTCATATGATTGGTAATACGTAGAATACATCTCACAAAATTACAAAATAAACAGAGAAACCACTGAACAAAAAACAAAGAACCCTCTCTAGTAAGGAAACACAAACAATATCTCAGAAGAAACCACCCTATAAGGTGTGAAAGGTACTAAACCAAAAAAACCTCAGAAGTCAACTTCGGTCTTCTTCGACATAAGGCCATATTTTATCCCGAAAGACAGCAATGGAAGCATCACCAACCAGATCAACAAGATGTGCGTGGGGTTCTTCATTAATACTTACAGATTCAATGGAAGTCCTAGCTATAGCTAGAGTAGTCAGCCAATAAAAATAAACAAAACACCTAATTAAAGATCATGTCCCCTTAATTACACTAGTTCAACCGAAAGCTGTTAGCATGGGTGTTGAATTTTCAATTTGGACATGAAGTCAGATGGAAGGTACTACTTTATTCCTAAAAAGTGACATAGTAAGGGAGAGTTATATTTTCTAGTTATATATATATATATATATATAAAAACAAAAATTGCTAATACATGATTGATCAATTGGCGATTTTGATATCATTGATCTCTCTTGTGATAGCTGGAATGCAACTGGAGCTACGAGCAATCCCTCCTTTCTTTGGCCCTGCAACTTTGTCCCTAGGGCTAATGGACTTAGCCCTTATTCTTCCATCTATGGTGTTCTTTTTCAGCATCTCTTTCATGGCTTGAGCCTGAAACAGAACAGGGAAAGCCCTTCCATATTTGTTGAACCTAACACACGCACTCATGTGTGCACCCAAGGCCTCATCTTTCTTCCCTCCATTTTTCTCCAACTCTTCCTTCACAGCCTCAGCACACAACCCGCACACCCACTTCCCGTTGAACTTGTCACGCACGCGCTCTATGTACTCGGGCGTGCACTCCTCACACATGCCACAGCACTCACACTTGGCATTCTCCACCTCAGATATCGCTGGCAGCTTCAAATCATCGATCTCTTCTTTTGCCAATTCAAAGGAGATGTCAGAAATAGTTCTTTGAAGGTTGTCGGATGAGAGCTTCGGAGGCTTTGATATGTTGTTGTTCCTAGAGAAAGAGCTTGACAAAGACTCACCATGAGGTGCCATAATATGTATGTGTGTGTGTGAGAGAGAGTAGTAGAACTTGATTGCTGCAAAATAGGGTTTGGCTCTGAGTTTAAGAGAGTTGTTTGTGTTGGAAACAATGATACACTATATGGAGAGAGTACTTGAACAGTGTCTAATTAATATGGCAGAAGAAGGAAGAGGTAATCGTATTTATACTGGTTCAGCTTGGTTGGGTGAATCTAAGGAGTGTGAAGTTGGGTGGATCTTAGAAACTGGAGGGTCGGTATCCATGGTCGTGAACTTGCTAGATTTTTCACGAAAGGTTTAATGAGAAAGCAAGGGGTTGTGTAGCTTTTAGAAGTTTGAAATAAATGTGCATCTAATCTGAAAGATTTGTGTGTTAGCTTCTTTTGTTGTTATCTATATACTCATTTCACTTACAAGTGCAGTTCCGTGCTTGGTAGTTGTGTTAACGTTGTGTCCAAAAAGGAGGTTAAGACACATGCTGCATGCAGCGCAATGCATGCTTTCTTTAGAAAGAGATAGGAAACTAATTTACCTCCACCCCATTTTGGGTGGAAGAGATATCATGTTTGATTTAATACATAAAACACTCTTTTCAATTTATGTGTAACTTTCTGTATGGTATTAATTTAGTCATGCATCCTAGCTAATCATTTTTAACAATTTAAAATCAATTCTATACATACATTTAAAACAAACAAACACTAAAACTTTTATAATTTAATTAATTTGGCCAAGGCAATGTTGGCAAGATTAATTAACTAAAGTGAAATATCTATATAAAAATATTATTAAAAAAATATGTTTAATTTCACCTACTCGTATATATATATATATAAGAAATTGTGTACAAAAAAAGTTCAAAAATTGCAATTTTTACGCATGAGCATTGATATTATCGTACACTTTATCTCACATCTCACTTTTCCCTATATATACTTGTCTCTATGTTTGTTTCTGACTTCCCATCTCATTCCTAATTTTAGAGTACGTTTTGGGAAATGAGTAGAGAAGAAAAAAGAATTGTGTAAAATAGTGAAAATTGAAAAATGAGTGTTATTTGGTAAAAGAAAATTGAGAAAAAGTAAAAATATTATGGTGGAATTTACACCAAAAAGCTTCTCTAAAATGAGAGAAAGTGTAGGAAAGTTGGTGAAAATAAATAATAATAATAATAAATAAATAAAAATATTATTAATAATAAATAATGAATATAATTTGTATTTATTGTATTTAAAATAAAATGATTAATTATATATATATATATATGATAAAGTAAAATAATAACTAAATAAATAAAAATAATAACAAAAATAATTAACTTTCATTCTATTTCCCTCTTATCAAACTATTTTTACTCTATTTTCCTACACTTCCCCGTACTTCTTTTCTTTTCTCTTCTTTTCCTTTCATTTCTTTCCTCTTTGTCAAACACAATATTATTCTAAATATGATTTTAATTTCTTAAATATGATATAAATTTGTTTTTATCTCTTAAATTTTAAATTAATTTTGTTAGTCCTATAATTTGAAAATGATCTTATTTTAGTTCTTCTGCTAAAATATTGTCAATGAATTTGTCAAATATTTTCACACAAATTTCACCTATTACTGTTCTTATTAGTAAAAATATTATATTAAATTTAATTAATATTATAGAATTATCTAAATTTATCACTATCAATTATACTATTGGATTTCGTTGATGTGACATAATTATCTTAATTAATCATTATCAGTTATATTACTAGTGGTTTGAGGGATTAAAATAAGTTTTTTTTTCAAATTATAAAAACAAAAATTAATTTAAAATTTAAAGAACAAAAATAAATATATTTACTCTAAAATTAAGAGATTAAAAACATATTTAAACTCATGTTTATCTTTCCTCCTTTTATTATAAAAAAGGTGTGATATGTAACACGTGAGGGAGTAAAATAAAGATATAAAATGATATATATATATATATATATATATATATATAATCACCAAATTCAAATGTCATCCCTCTCAATTATTTTTATATTTAGTTTATTATATTTTTAAATCCTTATCTCCTTTAATATATTATTTTCATATTGTTTAACATTTTTTTTACTTTTTATGTTTTTAAATAAATTATTTTCAAATTCATTCGTTAGGTAAAAAGTACAAAGAAAAATTGAATACTTTATTGATGTCATGAAATTGGTTTGAGACAATGGATCTTAAAATTAAGTTTGACATGCATTAACCAGAGCAAAATCGTAATGTTCATGTTAGGTTTAATTTGAATGTGACAAGCTACGTACACAGAAATATTATTGAGATACATCCTTTTTTGGTTAGAATGATAATTAGGTATGAGTATATTCATAGTTGATGCAGTGAATGAGTTTCTTTCGGTTTCTAAAAAGTTCTTCCTTTTCGAAATTGATGAGATGTGGTCCAATACCAATACAAGTTGTGGGGTATTCACATGCTAGCATAGTGAAACCATATGTATATACTTGGCTTCGGCTTTCTTCTTTAGTGGTAGTTATTTACACCAAAAAGAAGGATAGGAACAGACTAGATAGATATACGAGAGGCGAGGCGAGAGCTTTCTTCCTCAAAATACATGAACTTTCATTTCACGAGGACTGAACCATAAAAAAGGTACAAGGAAAGTAGTTCAAGTTATAGGTGCGTGAAAGATACTAATTAATAAAATTAAAGTTGAAGCTTCTCTCATACGGGTTTGTAAATGTTGCAGAAACATCTGGCAGTGCTAAAGAAATGAATATGTGAATGACATTATGCCTTAGTCTAATTTGATACATGTGACGAAGAGAATCATCCATCCACACATTGTTCATGATGATCATGTCATCATTATTATTATTATACCTTAAACTTATGAGTAGATGAATAATTTTACATTAAGCCAGTCATCTCATTAAGGTGTGTTTGGGAATTAAGTTTCAGAGGGAAACAGAAAAGAGCAGCTTTTTTTTTTTTTGAAAAATAAGTTATATTTATAAAAATAATTAGAAGATAAGGACATTAAATTTAAGTCAATATTATTTTATTTCTTTTATTTAAAAATTCAAATTAGGTAATATATTTTAGACATGAAAAAATTGATCCCTCATCCTAAATAAAAATTCAAATTAGCTAATATATTTTAGACATGAAAAATTGATCCCTCATCCTATACTTTCTAAAATATAACATCCAAATACACCCTTAAGAAACAAAAGCTTAATACATTAGCCCAAGCCAAAAGGAACAGGTGCAGTTTAATTGCCTTTCATTTTATGTAACAAAAAGAAATTAATTTTCTGGTGAAATGATGCGTGTTTTTCGTTTTCTACAGCTCAGGTGCTGTGAAGCACGTCATTTTCATCTTTATATAGGTCCACGCATAAGTAAATGTCATCGAGGACAGCAGTTATTAAGAGATTTTGACTCGATAACATCAGTAATTTCGAAGTTCAGCTACCCCATGTAACTAAAATTGTATATTTGTGTATACCCACCATATACAATTTTTCCTATCCTTTGAAGCTACACCAGAGTTTTGATTTCCCTTGTCAGTGAAGCAGTTGGTCAGTCCTCCTCGACCACTTCCCTTATAGAGCACAAAAATCGGGCAGTGTTATACACAGGGAGCATAATGCACAGATTAATGAGCAACACTACCCTTAGCAAGGTATTTATGCACTATTATTGTGTTTAGATTTATTCATGCGTCCATCCAAGTTACATTCTCCTGACAAGAAAAGGTCCCGACCGAAACAGCCTCACATCCAAACATCTATTTAACATGGTAGTAAACCAGCCTCTCTTCCCAAAATTAATCAAAACAATAATTCGTGTGCTTAAGTAAATATTGTTACTCGTCTTTGTTTGATTGCGAGTCTCCGGTTTGTTTGATGATTGTAAATTGTGCATAGCCCAACAATACAGAAAATATATATATATATATATATATATATATATATATATATATAGGTCTAGCCTGGGGCTAAAAAATTAATATACAAAATACATCATCCTAGCTACACTAAGTAGCCTATCAACAACAAAACATCTACTCCATCTGACAGCTACAAAC